AAACTGTCACCGATATGATAGAGTTTGTTCGATATGATTTTATATGCCAGCAAAATATTTCATTATAGAAGGTCTAAGTTTTATTTAAGAAAGGACTTGTATCGGTAAAGTTTCTTCGGAAAGAATTTTTACGGAAAATTAATTAACGAACGGAGACGTAACAATATCATCATTATATCATGGCAAATGTCCTTCTAGCAAAAGTTATGAATTAAAAATGTTAAAAAACATAGCCTAAAAAAAGTCTGCGTACCATTATTATAATTTGAGGCTTAGCGTGGCCTAGTATTTAGTGTGCTGGGCTATGGATCCAAGGTTCCCCACATTCATGTTCTGTTACCCAACATTGCCCTCTGCGCCTTGAGATTGTGTTTGGGTTATAATCCTACTATTTGATAAAAGTAGCCCAAAAATTAATAGTTGGTGATGTTGACTACTTGTTTTCTCTGTAGTTTATTAGTTAAAAGTTAGAGATGGCTAACGCAGATTATTGTTGTGTAGCTTTGCGCGAATATGGACACAAACGATTATTATTTGAGGTTTGAAACATGATGTAATAATCATTCAGAGGTCACAGGAGTGTGCCGCCAAATCCAATCCTACCTGGTACTACCATGTGCCAAATTCTATCTTTGTACTTCCTAATTTTAAAGGCGAAAATTAACTAAGCTACTAATTTGGCCAACCTTCTTAAGGTGTATAGAAAGGATTATGAATATTATTACAATAGTTCTAAGCTTATATTTTTATGCTACAACACGAAATGTTCAAGCCTCATTTACGCCAAACGCATGCGTATTAGGATAAATGGGATAGGATTTGGAAAAGGTAGGGTTTGACACCACGTAGGTCATTTGATCTCATTTTTCTCTGAAATGCGATTTTATCGCCCTCTGCGCAAGAAAATTAATGGTTTTGCGTGGATAATTTTAAATTACGTAACTTTAACTTAGTTATAGAAATGGCTGGAGGAAAAGTGCATTTTACTTCTCAGTTAACTAGGAACGAAATTATAGGACTTGTTTTTCGACTTACATTATTTGGTGCTTTGACTTATTTCGGTGTCAAATGGATGGTTAATGCAATAGATCCTACAAGGAAGCAAAAGGTTGAAGCTCAGAAACGGGTAAGCTGAAAAACTGAATAAAATTATATGTACCTGTTTCGATCGGTGCAATTATATTGAGCATGACTATCAGAGTAGTAAAAACTAGTTTTTTAATCGTATTGCATGTGATCACCACCATTGCACAGTTCCAACCGTATCAGTGTAGTGATATACCTAACGTTAATTTATTATTGAGGATATTAATAATAACCATCTGTAAAAAAAGTATTTCTGTTAGTATTAGGTGATGAAGTCTTAGTTTTGTCAGTAAGACTACTAAGACTAAGAGTAAAAATTGTAAAATATAGAGTACATAGCCCGATATTTGGACTACTAGTAACGCAGGTCGTTAAGCCTTAAGCAAAATTAAAAAAGCCACAATGTTCTGCTGTGTTCAGAAACACTAAATATTTAGGCATTTGATAATAAGTATTTATTATTTTAAATTCATTAACTACCAGGGCTTGTACTGTCATACTTATACCCTGTTCTCAAACAAATTATTCCAATTTCCAGTAGTTCCATATACACGTAAAATCTTAAATCTGAGTAGAAGTTAAGATAATATCTATAAGGAGGATTAAATTAATAAATAAAACAGAATATTCACATAAAAAAGGCAATTAGCAAGACTAGAAATTTCCTTTTCCAAAAAGCATGCTCTATTCTAGTTTGCAAAACAGTCTGTAAGGTCTAATAGTAATACTAGATAATTTTACTTTATCAAAACAGATGTAAACTGTTAAGCACTTAACTTCCCATATCTTCCTTGCACCATTTCTTTATATAAATTTAAGTGGTAGTATTGAAGTTTAAAATTAACAATCAAAATCTGTGTACTCAGTTTTTGTAATTACAGAACTTATCTCACTAAATCAGGAATTTTGCACTCTGTAATTTTTCTCCTTATTACTAAAATTTTAATTTCATTTCTATACCAGTAAAAATACATTACTTATTGGGTTTTACATTTTCTTTTGATCATTAATATTAGGAGGAAATGCAGTGGACTTTTAGTATGTTACTAGTCTTCATAACCACATTCTCATATTCATTTTTTGCTAGTTAAATGTTTTTCTGAAGTATTCTTAACTACATTACACACACACATACATATATATGTTACCTTAAAAGCTAAGTATGTTACAATGATCTGCAAGTGAGCAAAATATAATCAATACAAACAAGTGATGAAAAAATTTATAATAAATATTATTTTAATGCAGATGATTATATACAAAAATTACATTGATTGGAGTTGAGGAAATATTAGTTAGACTGTAGAAGGACGGTAAAAGAAAGCAATAGGGCATAATTAATAAAGTTTGCTGATGTCATTAAACTGTAGAGAAATTGTAGTTTTAGTGAAGATAACATAATGATTTGGGACAACGTGGTACCTATTGGTCTATCTTGGCTCTTCCATCCTCTAAACTAAATTAAAATAATTAGAATAAAAAAATCTTAAAGCCAGGCCCTATCATTGATATACTTGTAAAGCTTTTTCATAAACTCACTTAAATTTACTGCCTCTACAACATCTGAAGGCAACCCATTCCAAAGGCCATCTTGTTAGAAAAATGAAACTGACTTAGCTGAAGATGACTCTTACCTCACCAAAATGTATATTTTTGTCCTCTGGTCCTACTATTTTCACTGTTAAATATGAAAAAAGGTGATGCATCAACACAATCAATTCTCTCTACATTCTGAAACACCTCAGTCAGATCCCTCCAACTCTTTTTTTTTTTTTCTAAGAGAAAACGAAAATTTGATTGATTTCAGTCTGTCCTCGTATATAACAACCCTTCCATCCCAGGTGCCATTCTGGTAACCCTTTTCTGAACCCTTTCAAACAATTCAGTGTCTTTCCTAAGGTAAGGAGCCCAAGACTTAACACAGTATTGCAAATGTGGCCTAACCAGTGACCTGTACAATGAAATTATAACCTCTTGAGACTTGTACTCAATACTTCTGTAGATATTTGTCCTACCACTAGCAACAGCACACTGCTTGAATGACTTTAGAGACTGATCAGCTATTACACCATTATCCCTTTCCTTCATAACACTGTTAAGGTTAGTCCTATCCAAATTATACTTATAATTAAATTATGATAACCCGCATGCATTATTTTGCACTTATTATAAATAAAACCCATCTGCCTTTTATTAACTCAACTCGCTAAATGATCTAAGTCCTTTTGTAAAGCAGCAGCATCCTTTTTACAGCTAGCAACATCCAATAACTTAATATCATCAGCAAACTTGAGTAATATATATTGACTATTCCTTCATACATGTCATTGATGTAAATAAAAAAAGAGCAAAGGTCCTAAGACTGAACCCTGAGGTTCCTCACTCTTGACATTAATCCAGTTTGACTGAACTCCATTTGTAGAAACCCTCTGCTTTCTTCCATCCAGCTACTCTTCTATCCAATTTGCTAACTTATCCTCCACACCTATAGAGATGGTTTTTTAAAGGCCTTTTGTGTGGCATCTTGTCAAATGCTTTCTGAAAATACAGATACACCAAATCTACATTCTTACCTTCATCTACATAAGCAGTAACCTTTTCAAAGAAGAATGTCAAAAGATTTGTAAGGCAAGATTTTCTCTTAGTGAAACCATGTTGACTATTCAGTAAAATTCTAAACTTTGTTAAGTGACTTTCAAAGCATCTTTTAACAGACTTTCCAAAACTTTTCCCACAACTGATGTAAGACTAATAGGTCTATAACTATAATTAATGAGAAAATTTTTATCACCTCTTTTGAAAAGAGGAGTTACATTAGCTAACTTCCAATTCTCTGGTACCTGCTCACTATTCAAGGACTGACAAAAAAAAAATAGTAGTAAGTGGCTCACATGTCCAATCTTTAACCTCCTTCAATGACTTGTATCAAATGGTAAGTTGGACAAATACTTAGCAAATTACTGGAGTTGGATGATTAGTGGAACTTACTAATGAATTAATTGTCAGTTACTTTCTGCAATCGATTGTTCACATGAACCTTGGCTAGTTGAAATAATCAAAAATGGTAGTAGTCAAAATTGCTAATCTTAATTAGTTAATTATTCATGATATCAATCAATTTAAAGGATAAAAGTATCAGATTTCTTATGGATGTATTCTAAAGACAAAATGAAAAAAGGGGACACAAATTTAAGATTTGAAAAAGATGAGCTAGGAGGTTGGGTTCCAGTTAAGACATTTTTCTAACAGGGAAATTAGCTTATTGAATGAGTTGCTGTTATCAGTAATGGTGGCCAGCATCTTACAGCTTGATTTTCTGAAAAATTAGGAAAGGGTTTAAATTTTTATTTTCATTTTCTTGGGTGGATGTGCAGGGATACACTTGATGGAGCAAATGGTACACTGTTGTCCTTGACCTATGTTAAGATAACTGAGAACAAAACATTGGTAAAAGTTTGACTACTTGGAGTGTAGCTGCAAAAGGTGTAACTCAAAAGAAATTAATTGTGGCAATAACATCCAAAAGGTGCTGGGGATGTTACTCTCCTCAGTTAACTTCAAGAACACTTGTGGAAAAGTGTTAAGTAGACTAGTGAAGAACAGTGATAAAAAAGGGTAAGGTTTGGGTGCTTAAAACCTGCATTAGTAGTAATCCCACGTTACTAATTAGAAAATTACAAAAAAGCTTGTAGACTTTATCCACCCACTTATATTCTAAATCAAAAAATATGTTTGACCACCAACCAGTGATGAAATAAATAGTGCAGTAATAATACAGAATTATATAACTCTTCTATATAATTTGATAGTAAAAAATATAATCTCCAAAACTCGCTCTTAAAATTTGCAAAGTAAATTTAAATTGAGAATTAGAACTAAATTGTCCTACCTATTTAAGTCAGTAATGTGCAGTGTGTCAGCCCAAACAACTGCAATTTATATATATATATATATGTGTGTAAAGTTAACCTTTGGTATCAAATATTCTGCACCAAGACAGCACATCTTTATCATAATCATTATTGTGTGTATGTATGTACAGGCAGGAATTTTACATTTACTTCCCATAATGATACTAAACATAATAGTTAAACAGTATTACTGCTCCTGAACTATATTTCTAACCATATATTCTCCTGGAGCAAGAAGAATATCTAAAGTAACATTATGAAAAGCAGGTTCTGTAACATTTCAATATAGAAAAATCCTTTACAATCTCCACAAAATCTTCAGCTTCTTGTGAAGAAGCTGAACTTTTATATTTATTTTCATAAATTTAAAGTTTAGATGTAATTAAACTAATATCTAACAGATGTAGAACTTGTTTTTTGAGCATGTTTTTATAAAATAAATTGCTAGTTTGCATATGATTATTTTCCTAGTTATGATCATGTATTCCTAAATTATCCACCATTGTGATAACTTAACCTTGTTATGACATGTTCAGAAATATTTTTTTAAAGTGATAATTTATTATATTCTGTACAGTTCAGATGTAGACTGCAATAGACCTGTCTTACTTAACCTTACAATAATTAGATTATGTTCATTAATGCTGATGTAAGGAAAAGTGGGCAAAGTATGAAATTGTTGTAAAGTGGTAGAATTTTATTATTCAGAAGCCTTCAGTGATAAGCCTTTGGGAATTAGACTTGGCCATTGAAAGAGACAAATAAAATACTAAAACATGTAGAATTTAATGTTATTATAGACACTTAAAAATACACAAAAATTTATACTTCGATATAATTAAATAAAAGTGAAAGGTGAAATACATTTTAATAATTCTTATGTCTATCCTTATAGTTTTTGTTTAGCTCTGACAGGATATTTAACTACTAACCTTTAGTAGATAACATAAAAATGTAGAATAAAAAAAGGAAAGATTAACATTATACAGTTTTGACATTAATGTGTAACTTATTTAATTCACTGAGAAATTATGCAATGATCATTAATGTTATTATAATGATTTTACTGTCGAAATTTGTTTACAAAATTAATATATGCTCCTTGTGTTTTATATTGGTAACATCATTTCTATAGAAACTGGGAATATTTCTAATTTTTCTCTTTCTTCACAGGCAGAGCGAATACTAAGTAGAATAGGAGTAAGCAATATTAAGGTGAGTTTTTTGTATGGGTGGTAAGTGAACAGATGTTGTGTAGTGGCAAGAAATATAATAAATAATTATAATTAATGCTTATGAAAATAAAATCTTTTTCGAAGTAACAGTGAAAAACTTATTGTAAGTTCTAATTACAAGAATTGTTTTTCTTTCATAGATAATTTTTGGTTTCAAAAGTATGTATGCATATGTAGAGTGATATAATTTGTTGATACTGCGAGTATTCTGTTAGCAAGTGAGATGAGGTTCAGAGATTGGAATGTTTTCTTTTGCACTTGTCTTAACATTCAAGAAAACTCCCTGACTTTGTGGGAATGTGTGGCCACTTCCTCTCAAAGTTACAGCATATCATACTCATAGCATTGTTTACTATTTATTACACCCTAAAATACATAATTTTTATCTCGAACCATACTAGAATAATACAACAAGTTATTAGTAATTTATTTCTTCTGCTACAGTTATTACAAGTTTCACACTTGTTCTGTTTAAACATCTCACTTGCATTTAACATATGATTTTATACATAATTATCAACATCGTGTGATATTGCTCCATACTTCTACTTCATTTGGCCTTAATCCCATCTATTAGGTCATCAAGAAATTAATGTTGCTTTTTTTTTAGATGAAAAAACCTAAACAACTTGTATATCAAAACAAAACATTTATTAAGTGAAATAGTCTCCATTCTTAATGATGATGCTTTTCCACTTTGCTTTTTAATCACTTGGCTTTGGAGCGAAAAACATTTCAATGTCCTCTTTAACACCTTCCACATTTGCATACATTTTCCCATTAAGATGGTGTTGCAACAAACGAAAAAGGTGGTAATCTGATGGTGCCATATCTGGAGAATATGGTGGATGGGAGAGAACTTCCCAACCCAACTCCATAATCTTGTGTTGTGTCAAACTTGCCACAATTTGGACATGCATTGTCGTGGAGAAGAAGAACACCTTTCTGATTGATGAGTGAAGGGTGTTTCTGATGAAGGGCTTGATTTAAACGTTCCAGTTGCTGACTATAGATTTCTGCATTCACAGTTCACTGTGGATTGAGGAGTTCGAAATGAATTACTCCTTTGATGTCCCACCAAATGCAAAGCATCACTTTCTGCAGATGGAGTCCAGGTTTTGGGGTCGGTTTTTGTCTAGGACTGAGCCATTGTTTTTAGTGTTTAATATTTTCCTATAGAGAATCAATTTTTCATCAGCTGTGACCATTCTGTCCAAAAATGGTTCACGAGTATTACCCACCAGAAGAGATGAAGCAATGTTCACACGTTAGAAACGATCATCAGAGAGTTTTTGAGGCACTCAAACACCTTCTTTTATGGAGTTTTTCCATATTCCTTAGATGTTTACATATTGTTTCATGAGAGACATG